CTTTCCCTAAGGCGGGTATCTCAGACCTGTTTGGCCCAGGTCCTCCACACTGCTGGACAGAGGATTAGAAAGGAAGTGGAGCAGACAACTGGTCAAATCCAGCTGGGTCATTCCCAGCCTAAATGTGATCAAGAAGATTCCAGCATCCTTTGGTTGTAAGAAGGCCAGGAGTCTTAATCAAGATCTGTCTTTACGGGGGCTTCCCTGGTGGCGCAGTGGTTGAGGGTCCGCCTGCCGATTCAGGGGACGCGGGTTCGTGCCCCGGTCCGGGAAGATCCCACATGCCGCGGAGCGACTGGGCCCGTGAGCCACGGCCGCTGAGCCTGCGCTCTGCAACGGGAGAGGCCCCAACAGGGAGAGGCCCGCGTACCGCAAAAAAAAAAAAAAAAAAGAAAAAAAAAAAGATCTGTCTTTACTGACAGCCAGCCCATTGCCCCAGACTCTCTGTAGTCCTTGAGGCCACAGGTGACCACGGAAAGGTCCCACACTGCCAACAGCCATTAGTTCCACCCACTTGAGCCCATGGAAATAGTGGCACCCAGAACCTTTGGGTCTCCTTCCGAAGGCGACGGCTCAAGGTGGCTCATCTTCCCCTCCCCTCTCTTCCCCCACCGCGTTGTTCTCTCCTCTGCCCCTTCTCTCTTCTCGCTACCTTCTTCCTTCCTCTGCCCACCCCTCGTTCTGCCACGTAGGTGATGTCCATGGAAGAATATGACATTGTACACCTGGAGCATGAAACTCTGGCCCTGGTGGTTACCAGCACCTTTGGAAATGGAGACCCCCCTGAGAATGGGGAGGTGAGATGAGCTTTTACCTGTTCTGGCACGTGTTTCCATCAGCAGAAAAGAGGGGCATCGCTTATACCTGCTATTCAGTGGCAAAGCCTCAAAGCCAGTGACCTCAGTTTGGGTCCAAGTTCTGCCAAGAGTGGACGATTCCAAGTCTTCAGTCTACGGGTGTCCACTGACTAGCCGATCCCTAGTGAAAACGCTGTCACCTGAGTGAGCTCCCTCTTTGGAATGGATGCTGCAATCAAGAGCTTGGTGTCCCCTGCTCCAGATGAAAGAAGCAGGGACCATGTTTTTGTAGAAAGCCACAAAGGGGATTTGTGCGCTGTGGGGTGGTGAGGCGAGTCCACACCTGTAGCCCTTTATAAACAGCCCTCTTCCACATGTAGCATTGCTGCCCAGCCTGAGCCCCTGACGCCCTGGACCCCAGGCATCAGGCTCCTCTTTTGCCAGTTAGGTCCCCAGAGCCTCTCCCCGACCCCGTTCCAGATTTAATCATACATGCCTCACATTTTGCTTGTCTCTTTCGGCCTCCAGAAATTTGGCTGCGCCTTGATGGAAATGAGGCACCCCAACTCTGGGCACGAGGAAAGGAGGTAAGTGAAAGACCCGCCAGTGTCACGTGACACCCTGTGAGGGTAACTGAAAATTGTCTCTTGGCCTCTGGGGCTCACATCTGAGTTCTGGGTAGCTTTGTGACCTGAAGTTCATTTGTGACTGATTTTAGCCGGTGGGCGTCTGTCGTCCTCTGGGGCAGATTATTTGGTCTTTGGTCACTTCACAGCCCTGTGCCTCAGTTTCTTTTCCCATCACACTGGGTTTATTCCACCTGCATGAATTTTCTAACTTGTAAGAATCACATTAGAAAACAGATGTCAGCATCCTATGAAAAGTTGTGCACTATGTAAATATCTGTTCTTACTATGGCCGCCCTTTGGAAACCTAACATTCAGAATCAGTGAGTTTCTTCCCCGAGAACTTTTCCATCTGATGGAGTTGCATCCACTAACGTGGAGGCTGACCTCAAAAGATAGCTCGGGAATTCCCTGGCTGTCTAGTGGTCAGGACTTGGCACTTTCACTGCTGAGGGCCTGGGTTCAATCCCTGGTTAGGAACTATAGGATCCCACAAGCTGCGCAGTGCAGGCAAAAGAAAAAAAAGGGTATCTCATAAGGTGAAAAATGCCTGAGGTCAAAAGATGTTCCTGGTAAAATGGCATCTAACGTGGGGTTCGGTTCTAAAGATATTTCATAAGGTGGCAAACACCCGTAACCAAAATTACCTTTGAAAAAACCCTTAAATCCCCCCAAAGTAGAGAACATATGGCATGTGCATACAGAGCTGCCTTTCTGTGAGAGTATCTCAGTGTTTCCTCCACCACAGAACAGGTCTTAAGTTGAGCATTGGATGCCATGGCTGGCTGGTGGTTAGAGGCTGTGTTCTGCACAGCATCCCTCTTGGTTTTCTTTCAGCCAAGCACACATTGCCAAACTTGCCTACATTCCATATCCAGGGGACAGCTGAGTCCCTGGTGGTCAGCCTTCCTTCTGTGCTCAAGGCCAACATCTTAGTCCTCACTCTCCCTGCCTCTCTCCTTCCCACCCTATCCTGGTGGCCTCCAGTAGGTCCCCCTCACCCCTCCTTCAGGGAGAGATAGGGCACCATCCATTCTCCCCTCTAGGTACCCGGAACCCTTGCGTTTATTTCCCTGTAAAGGGCCTCCCCTCGCCCGAGGTGACACAGAAGTCCACGGTCTGGCTGCAGCCCGTGACAGCCAGCGCAGGTGGAACATGTGTGTGCGTGCACTCGCCTGTGCATGTGCGTGCACACGAATGTGTGCACGTGTATGCCTTGCGTTCATGTGTGTGCATAAGTGGTGTGAGCGCTTGTGTGCATGTTGGTAGGTATGTGTGCGCATGCCCAATGCTGCAGCATCCAAGGCCACACCCAGGTCTCAAGGAGACCTGAGTTCTAACCCAGGCTGTGACACTAACGCGCTGAGTAACCTTGAGCAAACTGCTTGACCTCTCTGGGCCTCGTCTTTCTCATCTGCCAAATGGGGAGAAACTACCTCTGCCCCAACCACCTCTGGCAGCTGTTGCAAGGATCGAAGGATAATAACAAAGAGGAACGCATTTGGAAAAACCTCAAGCCTCATACAAACACAGTGCTGTTATTTTTACCCCACAACCGTCAACCATCCTTCCCACACTAACAACACAGCCACCCCCTGATATGTTACAGGACTTATTTGGAGAAATGACTCAATGTGAGACTATTTTTAGGGCAGCAAATACACTTACATATATTTAGAACTTTCCTGATGCTGGAGCAAAAACTTTGAAGAACATCCAGCTTAGAAACCCTGCTGCCAGAACGTGCAATTTCTTTTTTTGTCTTTTGCACTCAGATTTGTGTGTTGAGTTTTTGTATTTTGGGTTTTGATTTGAGAGTTTTATGGAGTTTTTTAGTTTGGGAGTTGATTTTGTTTTGTTGCTCTTGGAGACATTTTTGGTTTGGTTTGGTTTGGTTTGGTTTTTGCCTTATCTGAGAACAAGACTTACCACTTTTAAAGGAAAACTGGAAAACCATTCATGGTTTTGTTTTTTTTAAATCTCGAGGCTCCTGAGCCTCTGATGCTGAGGTCCCAATGACATCTTTCTTCCCCTTTGAAACAACTTCATAAGAAATCCATTCTCTTTTCAGGCTGTGTCAGTGCTGAACATTTTTCAGTTTACTTGAAATGTGAAATGTGAGAGACCCTTGAAATGTCTAAAGACTAAAACTTTATTGAAAGAGAATGTTGTAATGGTTACCAGTGGGGAGAAGGAAGGGGGAGGTGCAAGATAGGGATAGGGGATTAAGAGGTACAAACTATTATGTATAAAATAAGCTACAGTGTTATATTGTACAACACAGGGAATATGGTCAATATTTTATAATAATTATAAATGGCGTATATAACATTTAAAACTTGTGAATCACTATATTACACACCTGTAACAGTATCGTACATCAGCTATACTGCAATTTTTTTAAATGGAAAAAAATTTTTAAAAAGAAAGAGAATGTTGAATGGGGTAGTCCTGCACCATCCAATAAAGCTTTCTACGGGCATATAAATGTTCTATATCTGTACCATCCTGTACGGCAGCCACTAGCCACTCATGGCCATTGAGCACTTGAGACGAGGCTAGTGCACGTGGGGAACAGAATGGTTCATTGTATTGAATTTGAATGAATTTAACTTTAAATAGCCACACACAGCCAATGGCTACTGTAGTAGACAGCACGAGCGCAGTTCTTGGCTACTCAGTGTGAGGAGAGGAGACCAGCAGCATCTCCTGTTAGAAATGCAGAATCTGAGGCCCTACCCTGGACCTACTGAATTAGGATGTGCTGCTTAACAAGGTCTCAGAATGATTCCTGTGCTCATTAAAATTTGGGAAGCAAGGAAACGTGGTCTGATGGGTTAAGGAATGGACTGTTGTTCTTTCTTTCAAGCGTGGTCCGAAACTTTTCTCTTTTTTTTTTCCGTTTTAATATTTTTTTATGGAAGTGTAGTTGATTTACAGTGTTGTGTTAATTTCTGCTGTACAGCAAAGTGACTCAGTTATACACATATATACATTATCTTTCATATTCTTTTCCAGTATGGTTTATCACAGGATATGGAATATAGTTCTCTGTGCTGATACAGTAGGACCTTGTGGTTTATCAATTCCGTATATAAAAGCTTACATCTGCTCCCCACAACCTCCCACTCCATCCCCCTCCCCGCCCCTTCTCCTTGGCAACCACCAACAGGTAGCATCAAATGATGTCTAGGTGTCATTTTTGGCAGGCAAGGGTGAGTTGATACATTCTAGACAAAGCCATAGGTGTGTTATGGTCTCACTCAAGACCCAAAGGAAGGCCCTAGAACCAGGACTGGTGATTTGGAGAGGCATGGGGTGTTGACCCCAGGAAGGGGCTCCAAGCCAGAGCTCACAGACTCTCTTTCATCTTGGCAGGAGCTACAAGGTTCGTTTCAACAGTGTTTCCTCCTACTCCGACTCCCGCAAATCATCGGCTGATGGGCCGGACCTCAGAGGCAACTTTGAGAGTGCGGGACCCCTGGCGAATGTGAGGTGAGTGGGGGGCCCAGGGTGTCAGGGACGACGAAGGCTCTTGCGGAGCTGGACTGAGTTAAAAAGTGGGCTCTTTCTTGGGGGCCGGGGGGGGGTCTCCCTTCCATGTCTGTTTATCCCTCGAATAACCAGCTGCACTCTGGCTATTTGGGGACATCCTCCCCCCATTAAAGCACACGACCTGGGCCCCTCCTGTGGCCTCTTCCTGTCACCCAAGCTTCGCCCCATCACACAAATTCCACATCATTTGTGCTGAAGGATGTTAGTGCCCCACCCGTCACTCAGCGAGCTCCCTTTGTAAGTGCTGTTACTGGAGAATGAACTTGAGTTGGTGTCCAGGAGTCTCAGAGATCCAGTGAAAGTTAACATAGGTTAATATCTACTCCTTTTAAATCTACATTCATGGGGCTTCCCTGGTGGCGCAGTGGTTGAGAGTCCGCCTGCCGATGCAGGGGACACAGGTTCGTGCCCCGGTCCGGGAGGATCCCACATGCCGCAGAGCGGCTGGGCCCGTGAGCCATGGCCACTGAGCCTGCGCGTCCGGAGCCTGTGCTCCGCAACGGGAGAGGCCACAACAGTGAGAGGCCCACGTACCACAAAAATAAATAAATAAATAAATAAATAAATAAATAAATAAATAAATAAATCTACATTCATGCTTTTCATCTCATCCTCCTCCCTTCTGGGGACACACTACCATGACCCAGTGGTTCCCACCCTTGGGTGCTCATCAAAATCACCTGGAGGCGTTTGCAGTATACAGATAACCAAGCCCCACTTCCAGAGATTCTGATGTAGTTGGTCTAAAATTGGACCCAAGCATTGCTTTTTCTCTTTTTGTAAATCTCCCTAATTGCCTCCAGTGTGCAGTCACATTCAAAAAAATACTGTCCTGACCCCATGTCACCCAAAGCATAGTCACATCCCATGAGAGCATTTTAGATTGTACATGGACAGATGTTTTATATTTCAATGGTTGTGAATTTGGTTTAATGGGTATTTGGAAAGAAAGAAAGCTGGATGTCAAGCCCTTGGTTTGACAGACATTGGGCAAGATGAGGCTTGATGTAAGCAGTGTGTTCAGGCCCGGCCACGAATCTCTTAGACCTTCACCAACTGAACCTTCTCCAAGCCGGCTCAGGACAGTGCTTAGCAGACGATAGAGATCACAGGGTTCCTAGATATTCAAGTATTGTTTTCATCAGTACCCTTTTTTTTTTTTTTTTTTTTTTTTGGCTGAGTCACGCGGCTTTCAGGATCTTAGCTCCCTGACCAGGGATTGAACCCGGGGCCATGGCAGTGAAAGTGCCGAGTCCTAACCACTGGACTACCAGGAAAGTGCCCATCGGTACGCTTGTTAATAAACTTTATCTATTTAAAGCAGTTTTAGCTTCACAGCAAAATTGAGGAGAAGGCACAGATTTCCCATATACTCCCTGCCCACCCACACACACACACACACACACACACACACACACACACAGCCTCCTCTACCATCAGCATCCCCCACCATGGTGGTGCATTTACACAACTGATGAAGCTACACTGACACACCATTGTCACCCAGGGCCCATAGTTTACATAGGGTTCACCCTTGAACTGATGGGTTTTGACATCAGTTCATTTTCTTTAGCTTGACGTTGAAACATCCATGGTTTGACAGTCAGACCTATTTTTCCCTTACTAAATCTATCATGGCTTAGAGCAGGGGTTGGCAAACTACAGCCCATGGGCCCAATTCAGCCTGGCCACTGTATACTTTTGTACAGCCCATGAGCTCAGAATGGTTTTTACAGAAGAACAATTACAATTTATTTGATGATAGAAAACATTACCTTTGAACCCCAATTAAGCAAAATGCTATCCCTCCAAAAATAGAATTCCATTCTTCTCATTAGTAGACATATATAACTAAAAAATTGTACCCAGCAACTATTATTATTATTATTCTATTTTTAATTTTGTCCAAAAGTATGCAGGAATATATTTTCTTTTTTGTCATATGGGTATCTACATAATAGCTTTGATTTTCCTTCTTGGCCTACAAGCCTGAAAATATTTACTGTCTGGCCCCATGTATAATAAGTTTGCCAACTTCTGTTTTGGAAGCTTAAAATAGGGATTTTGAAACCATAAGATGAAGACTGTGATGAAATGTGAACCTAGAAAGTGGCTGTGACACAGGCCTTCAGGTGCATCAGGAAGCATGTTAATGAATTAATCACCCAGACCAACTCTTAGTGAACACCAGTGGGTTTGAATAGCCAGTGAGTACAAATTAAAAGCAAAGTAAACAGCACCACTAAGTAAATAACAGTATGGGTGGTAGTCAAGTGTGGCGGGTGTCTCGAACATAATAAATATTGGAGGTTCGGGGAACAGTGCCTTAACCACAAGGCATGACTAGCACGAAGAGTTTCCAAAACTGTGTTAGGCTAAGGGGGGTGGCTGGGAGGCAGAAGTGCTGCTTCCTGCATCCTTTAACCAGTCCTCTCCTGGCCACCTGCTCTTTCCACCTGTCAGGCCACTGCCCTGCGGGGGAAAAGGTGAGGAATCCAGCTGAAGGAGGATTGTGGGTGAAGGACTGCTGGGGAAACATGCGACCTCATCCCACATCCTTCCCTTGGAAAGGCTCTGGAACCCCAGGGAAAGAAGGGCAGGCGAGGAGAGGAGGATGAGATGAAAAGCATGAATGTAGATTTAAAAGGAGTAGATATTAACCTATGTTAACCTTCACTTGATCTCTGAGACTCCTGGACCCCAACTCAAATTCATTCTCCAATAACAGAGGGTTCCTTCCCAACTTGCCCCACCTCCTTCCCTCATCCTCCATCGCAATCTTTCACCACCCTGGCTCCATCATTCTAAAAAAGAGATTCAAGAGCAGAGCCAGACCCTGTAAGGAGTAGGCTAAATAGCCCCACTCCTTGACTTGTCTGAATTGGCCGTCACCACGGAACCCTCCAACATGGGAAAGAAGCAAGTTGGGGTGTTGTTCGTATCCCACTTATAAACCTGTCCATCCAGTCCCAATGAGGTCAAGACCCACAGCCAGGACCGAGTCCTGGAAATGTGACATCAAGTCTCTGCAGGACTGAGGGGCCACCTGGGACACAGCCCTCCACTTCCCAGACTTCAGAAAAATCTCATTAACTTGACGCCCATTGATTCAAACACCGACACTTTCTTGGTGGTATCTATGCAAAGAGACTTTGTGAAGCAAATCAATTTCACAGATACTGCAAGGGGTGGAGCCAGCATATTTATAAACCTTTCAACCCCTTTTAGAAGAACCTGTTTACACACCGACACTGGATGTGTTAATGACAAGTCCTCATCTCCTCGTTAACACAGGTCCCCTAGAACTGCTATGCTAGGGTTTTCATTCTCTTTGTACTTAAAACTAACCTGATTGTATCATGAGTAGAGTCAAGTCTTCCTCTAATGTAGACTCATTTCCCCAATTAGTCCAGCTTAGAAATGGACACACAAGAAACAGCCAATTTTTCTGGGTCACCACTATCCCCAACTCATCCTCCTTAGGACCAACTGGGACTTTTCTCCTGAGGACAGTAGTACCTAGCAGAGACCAGAAGGAAGGGAGAGGAGGGCTGGGGGCTCCCAGGCTTAAAGACGGCCTTCCCCAGATGGGCTTGGGGTAGTCTGACCATCACGGGCTAAACACCATCCTTCTGGAGATACCAGAGGTCTTTGTCTGCTTGGGCAGCCATAACAAAATACCATGCACTGGGGGGCTTCAACAGTAGAAATTTATTTTCTCACAGTTGTGGAGGCTAAAAGTCCAAGATCAAGGTACCAGTAGGATTGGTTTCTGGTGAGGCGTCTCTTCCTGGCTTGCAGACAGCCACCTTCTTGCTGTGTCCTCACATGGCCTTTCCTCTGTGAGCGTGTGGTGGGGGTAAAGAAAGAGAGAGCGCTCTCTGGTGCCTCTCCCTCTTCTTAAAGGACACCAGTCCTATTGGATTAGGGCCCCACCCTTATGACCTCATTTGACCTCAGTTACCTCCTTGAAGGCCCCATCTGCAAATATAGTCACATTGGGGGAGAGTGCTTCAACACATGAATTTGGGGGGGACATAACAGTCCATAACCCCAGACACCCCCCCACAACGCCTCCCCAGTCCCCTAGCCTGGAACTTCTGTTGTCTTCTTGGCAGGTTCTCCGTGTTCGGCCTTGGCTCACGGGCTTACCCTCACTTCTGCGCCTTTGGACATGCCGTGGACACCCTCCTGGAAGAGCTGGGTGGGGAGAGGATCCTGAAGATGAGGGAGGGGGATGAGCTCTGTGGGCAGGAAGAGGCTTTCAGGACCTGGGCCAAGATGGTCTTCAAGGTAACCATCTGCCCAGATCTCAGAGACCCAGGGGGAGAAATCATGTCCCCAGTGACCCCCAAGGACAGAGTACCTAAACCATCAGAGATAGAAGAAACTTGAGAAAATCCTTGGTACTTCCCTCATGTATCCAACCAGGAGACAGCTTCAAACAATTCAGATGAGTTTGGGTGGTCCTAAATACACAGTTTCCAACCAGAATCCAACCTCCTGCATTAAGGGTAAAGAGTTGGTCTATAAAAAATTATAGAGTCTTGGAATTTCAGGGCTGGGAGGAATCCATCCCTCACTCACATTTGGTAGACAAGTAAACAAAAAAACATAGTGTTGGTTAACCAAACCAGGGGGCCATGCCTCAGGCTGGATCTCAGATCTCACCAGTTTGTCTGCTTTGACAATCTTATTCCTCTTGTGCTAGATCTTCAGTGACCTATACAGCAGCCACTAGCAACAAGTGATCATTTAAATTTAAATGTAAACTAAGTAACATTAAATATGATGAATGGATAAATTAAATGTTGTGTGTCCATACAGTGGAATACTATTTGGACATAACAAGGAATGAAGTGCTGATGCATGCTACAAGGATGAACCTTGAAAACACGTGCTAAGTTAAAGAAGCCAGACACAAGGGACACTTACTGTATGATTCCATTTACATGAAAAATCCAGAATAGGCAAATCCATAGAGACAGAAAGTAGATTAGTGGTTGCCAGGGGTTTGGTGGCGGGAGTGGAAAATGGGTGTGGCTACTAATGGGTACAGGGTTTCTTCTGGGTTGAGGGAAATGTTCTGAAACTGGATAGTGGTGGTGATTGTACAACCTTGTAAATAACATATATACAACTAGATGTAAATTAACTAGAATTTAAAATGCCACTCCTCAGCTGCACAAGCCACATTTCATGTGCTCAATAGCCACTAGTGGCTAGTGGTTACCATATTAGACAATTAGAATGTTTCCATCATGATAGGACATCCTATTGGGTAGCATTATTCTAGATATGAGGTCAAGAGAATAAATGAGCAATGGCCTCCATAGGCATGTGGTGCGTGGTGCAATTGGCCATCCTGGGAAAAACAAAAAAGCAATGAATGTGGACCCACCTTTACCTGCTCCTTCTTTGGCCCTGGAATGCATTGTTATCAGCAGCCCCAGGAGAAAGGGGACTGTGCAACATTCTGTCATTCAGTTGACACTTTTCATCCTCACAAAGGAGCAAAAGGGGAAACTGAAGCCCCTGAGCTATAAGGATACGTGAGTGAGGAGGCTGTGTTGATAAACTTGTGCCAGCATTTCTTCCTAGGCAAAGAGAACCAAGATAACCCATCAACCCATCAACCCATCCACCCACTCATCTACCCACCCTCCCTCCCTCCCTCCATTCCTCCCTTCCATCCATTCATCCACCTATCCATCCATCCATCCAACCACCCATTCACCCATTCTCCCATCTACCCTTCCATCAACCCATCCACCCATCCTCCTTCCCTCCATTGCATCCCTCCTCTGTTTATACCAGGAGATAATTGTGTGGTTCTTGACTTCAATCGGGCAACACTGGGCATTCCAGAAGCAGGGCCTGTTACAAGCTATCATACCTTTTAAGCTATCACATCCCTCATCCTCCCAGCCAACTCCCAGCCCTACCAACCACTAAATCTACTTTGTGTCTCTATAAATTTGCCTATTCTGGACACTTGATATGAATGGAATCATAATATGTGGTCTGTTATAACTGACTTCTTTCACTTAGCTTAATGCTTTCCTGGTGCATCCACATTATAGTATATATCAGTACTTCATTCCTTTTTACAGCCAAAGTAATATTCCATTTTATAGATATACCATATTTTATTTCTCCACTCATCAGCAAATGGACATTTGGATTATGTTAAAATCAACATGAGGCCAAAAAATGGTATTAAAAAAACGTACCTTTGAAAACCTTTGGAATTATCCATGGTTTTTAACCTCCAAAAATCTGAATTCTGAACAGTAATTCTAAGAATCAGTAAAGTTGGAGAACTTATGAACTTGGCAAAAAAAGAAAAAAAAATCTTATACGCAGGTATCCAAACATGCAATATATTCTGCCTTCACTATAATTTTTAAATCTTTAGAGGAAGATAGGAAATTTCTAAGGTTTTTACTTTCTTGTTTAATGTTAAGCCTCTGCAAAAGTTGGTTTTAGAAATAAATGACATAAGAGAGTTACATATTAAATAGAGGTTAGGTCCCAAAGTCAATAGTAAATGTGGTATGTCCATCCCGTCAAAGGCACTCAGAAAGTAAGGGTGGATTGGTTGATGAGTGGATAAATGGATGGAGAGAAGGATGGATGGAAGGAAGGAAGGAGGGAGGGGAGGCAGAGAGGATGGAGGGAGGATGGATGGATGGGTGGATGAATAGAAGGATGGATGGATGGAAGGAGGGAGGGAAGGCAGAGAGGATGGATGGATGGAAGGAGGGAGGGAGGGAAAGGAGGATGGATGGATGAATGGAGGGATGCAATGGAGGGAAGGAGGATGAGTGGATGGGTTGATGGATGGATGGATGGATGGATAGGTGGATGAATGGATGGAAGGGAGGAATGGAGGGAGGGAGGGAGGGTGGGTAGATGAGTGGGTGGATGGGTTGATGGGTGGGTGGATGGGAGAATGGGTGAATGGGTGGAGGAATGGATGGATGGGTGGAGGAACGGAAGGAAGGAAGAAATGGAGGGAGGAGGAGGGTGGGTGGATGAGTCGGTGGATGGGTTGATGGGTGGAGGAATGGATGGATGGGTGGATGAACGGAAGGAAGGAAGAAATGGAGGGAGGAGGAGGGTGGGTGGATGAGTCGGTGGATGGGTTGATGGGTGGACGGATGGATGGACGGATAGTAAGACTTGGAGCTGTTGATGGGTTGATGGGTTGATGGATGGACGGACGCTGTGACTTGGAGCTGTTGGGAGGCACGCTGCTGGCTGAAAGAGGTCACTGAAAGCCCCGTGTGTGCCACAGGCAGCCTGTGATGTGTTCTGCGTGGGAGATGACGTCAACATTGAGAAGGCAAACAACTCCCTCATCAGCAATGACCGCAGTTGGAAGAGGAACAAGTCCCGCCTCACCTGCGTGGCCGAAGCTCCAGAACTCACACGAGGTACCTCCCACCACACACCTGGGGAGACGTTCATGAGTGTGGGGGGCAAGGAAGACAGGAGTCCTCACCTCCGAAAGGGCCTTAGAGAAGGTGGGCTTCATTGCTTTCGTCTCCCTTTAGTTCAGTCCTCCCGGTAAAGAGAGGGTCAGGAGAAGCTGGAGACCTTTTACTGACAACTGTTTAACTCCATCACAGGAAGACCGTTGTTGTTCTTCCCCCAGGTCTATCCAGTGTCCACAAAAAGCGGGTCTCAGCCGCTCGACTCCTCAGCCGTCAAAACCTTCAGAGTCCTAAATCCAGGTAGGAACACCTTGGCCCCCTTGGGGTCCCCACCTGTGCCCCAGATGCCACCCACAACAAGGAAGGAGGACTCCGAGGACTGGCTTCCTATTACCGTTCTAAGCGTCCTCGAGACCCCCTTGCCACTAGCATCTTGGTTTCCTGCTTTCCCTTTGTCAAGCTCCAACCTGCAGGGATGAAAAAAGTAAATGGTGACGATCCTTGTGGAAAGGGGAAAGAGAAAGGTTTTTCGAGGAATTTTTAATAGAGACTACACCCTTTTCAGACTGCTAATGTTCATTGTAATGTGCATCTTAGTCAGAAATCACTTAGGGGCTTCCCTGGTGGCGCAGTGGTTGGGAGTCCGCCTGCCGATGCAGGGGACACGGGTTCGTGCCCCGGTCCGGGAAGATCCCACATGCCGCGGAGCAGCTGGGCCCGTGAGCCATGGCCGCTGAGCCTGCGCGTCCAGAGCCTGTGCTCCGCAACGGGAGAGGCCACAACAGTGACAGGCCCGCGTACCGCATAAAAAAAAAAAAAGAAAGAAATCACTTAGTCCTGACATCTCCCTGTGGGTAATTCTTCTCTGCTATCCTGAGAAATGCCTGCTCAGTCTCTGTTTAAATTCCACTGGGATGATGGGAAGTTTATTAACCTGTAAAACAGCCCCGTCTGTGTTTTGAGGTCCTGATTGTTAGAAATTATCTTCCTATTCCTTATAACCAAAGCAAATGTTCCTAGCACTTCATTTTGATCCTAAGTTGCACTCTCCAGTGACACCCAAAACAGAGTCAGTTCTTCCAAATGAGAGAGCTGCCAACAGCCAAGGACGGTGACCAATCTCTCCCTGGTCCTCATTCCTTCCAGCTGTTCTTCCTGAGACCTGGTTTCCCAAACCTTTTGCTTTAGTAAAAAGACACACTCTGGGGCTTCCCTGGTGGCGCAGTGGCTGAGAGTCCGCCTGCCGATGCAGGGGACACGGGTTCGTGCCCCGGTCCGGGAAGATCCCACATGCCGCGGAGCGGCTGGGCCTGTGAGCCATGGCCGCTGAGCCTGCGCGTCCGGAGCCTGTGCTCCGCAACGGGAGAGGCCACAGCAGTGAGAGGCCCGCGTACCGAGAAAAAAAAAAGACACCCTCTGTCCTGCTGGAAATGTCATTCCCAGCCGTGGTCACAGTGCAGTGGAGGTCCTGTGATCACTACCAAGTGCACTAAGGCTATTATTACCATCCCCGATCGGGATAGGGTGCTCTAATGCCGCCCAGGATTGCAGGTGTTGTCCTAACAGCCATGCTGCTCTCCCATTAAGCTTACGTCCTTGCTGCTCGTGGACTTGAAGTCTTTTCAGAATGATCAGGCCAGGTCTCTGCATCCCTCTACTTGTATAAGTAAATTTTTTGGCAGTAAAGAAAGTCTTTGCATTGATCCCTGTTGAATGGAATCTTTTTCACTTTGCAGTTTTGGCCCATGAAGATCTTTTGAGATCTTGATTCTTTGCCTGGCATCGTACAAAGGGTGGGCTCTCCAGCTGGACAGCCATGGATTCTGACCCAGTGCTGCCACGTGTCAGCTGTGTGACCTTGGGCAAGTCCCTTGGGTCTTCTGAACCCCTATCTCCTTACCTAAAATGAGATCGATGGCTATAAAGATTGCCAATGTTTATCTAGTACTTTCTGTGTTCCAAGCCCTGTTTTGAGTCCTCTCTGTGCAGGATCTCCCAGAGTTCTGACCAGCCCAGGAAGTAAGTACTAGTATCATCCACGTTTTAAATATGAAAAATGACAATTAGAAAATGCAAGTGACCTTTCAAGACCACGCAGGCTCAGTTCTCTGACTCCAAGGTCAAAATGCCAAATGGCTATACCTATGGCCTCACCAGCATCACAAGGCTGCTGTATTAGAAACAACACACACAAAGCAACTAGCGTATCCCTCATTCCCGTTACTATTCCTTACCCATCCCAGCTTCATACACCTACAAATTTAGTATGTGTGCTTTCTACGTGGACTTAAAACCTTTCTTTTTAATTGGAGTATAGTTGATTTACACTGTTGTGTTAATTTCTGCTGTACAGCAAAGTGATTCAGTTATACATACACATACATTCTTTTTTTTTAATATTCTTTTCCATTGTGGTTTATCATAGGATATCGAATATAATTCCCCGTGCTATACAGTAGGACCTTATTGTTTATCCATTCTATATATAAAAGCTTACATCTGCCAAACCCAACCTCCCACTCCATCCCTCCCCCAACCCCCTTCCCCTTGGCAACCACAAGTCTGTTCTCTGTGCCTGGACATAAAACTTTTGATAAAGTGGTCAACAGGATGGAGCCCCAGGGCTCTCATGTTCTCTCCCAGATCCTCAAACACTAAAGAAATGGATTGGGAAATTAATCCATTTGAATAATTAGTTAAATGCAATATTCAGAGCATAATGATGTCTGATACAGAAAGGGACTCTGTATTTGAAATACGCATTGTACTCCCCATTTCCATCCTGTGGAAAAGTACAACTTCAGTAGCATTGGAAGAGAAGGGACTAAGAATCTACTGGAAATTTCTTTCAGTGACAAACTGTGAAAGCCCAGATAACAAAAATTACTCTCCAAACCATAGTTCATAAAAAGCAAGGTAATTTGCAAATGTTTTGATGCTAAGTTGGACTGTAGTCCCAGAATAACCCCCGATCCACCTCTGGAAAGGACAGTTAACTCTGAGTGACTTACAAGAAGATATTTCAACAAGGTTAGGAACCAGAAGACCGTATTAAAATCAGTTATGGATTAGCTCAAAAAGGACCAAATGGTGCCTAGACATTTAACTCTTTAAAAGCACACTCCATAGCACTACCTATTTTCAGGCTTACTACCATTTCCAGCTTTATACGGTTGTTGTTTTGTTTTTGTTTTTGTTTTTTAAGAATAACTGAGCAAAAAAGCATGACTCTCTCTCCTGTTTTCCCCTGCCCAAGGCCAAAGTCCAGCTGTTTGAGCCAGGAGACCATAGCAAGATATCATGCATCACACACCCACCACTCCCACCCCCAGCAAGAGACCCTTAATTGCAAGCAAAGTGCTTAAGAGGAAATAAGCCACCTTTTGAAGGTGATCCTTGCGCTCTAAAGAGAAAAGTCACCGCAGTTACTGCCTGGCCAGGAAATAAGTTTTCTACATACCGCAATTAGCAAACAATACAGAAAAGAGTATAATGGAGCGCTAATGGGTGGGGTGTGGATCATAGGTCCTAGAAGTCAGAAGGAGGAGGGGAAACGCCGGGTAGGCTTTAGATAGGCTAGTGAATAGAGGGGGGACATCTAGGAAGAGAGAATAGGAGCAAAGATGCTGAAGGGGCCCTGAGCGCTGGGGTATCTCAAAGAAAGATGGGACATTATAACGGAGAGTACTTGATGGGAGAACTCTTAATTCCCAGCTACCCTCTGATAAAATTGCTTCTCTCCAGCCTTCACCATCTCAACAGAAGACATCAATATTTGGCTTAAGCCCAAGACTTAAGCAGCCTCCCTGCCGCCTCACTTTCCCTCCCACAACCAATCCAACTCTCAACTGGTACTGTGGGTCTTGTGTTTCAACTACATCTCAGATCTACATCCACCACCTTAAGCAAGGTCACGATCGTCTGTGGTCTGAGTGCCTGCCATAGATACCTAACTTGTCTCCTTGTTTCTTGACATTTCTCTCAAAGATCCATTTTCCAAATAGCAGGCAGACTAATCTTTTAAGAATGTAAACGGAAGCCTGTCCATCCACAGCTTCACATCCTCCAGTAGCTTCCCACTGGACTTAGGAAACCTTCAAACTCCTTTGCCGTGACAGGTCATGACAAGACCCTCATGATCTGGCCTCTGCCTAGCTCTCTGATCTCCTCTGTACCACCCACCCCTGTGTTGACCCCTCTTCCAAACACTCCAGTCTTCTTTCCCTTCCTCAAATGTGCCACACTTTTTCCAACCTCGGGGCCTTCGCACATGCTGCTTCCCCTTTCGGGAACACTCTTCCCCCAGATCTTTGCATGTCCGTTCCTTCTCATTCTTCAGATCTCTGCCCCAATGTCAAATCACCAGAGAGGCCTCCTTGACCATACTTGTCTGCCAGTCACTTACCCCACTGCCCCCACCCATCAGTATCCACCCATCCTCATCACCAGCCCCACCTGAGATCTTTCTAAGTTATTTCTCAATGAGAATCAGGCCCATTGTTATCTTTATCCATCACTCTCTCACCAGTGCCTAGAACAGTGCCTGACACTCAATACAAATTTGTTGAAGGTATGAACCTTATTCACTCAAACTGCTCACAACAGACACTGTTTACTCTTTTCTTTGAAGAACGAACATGAGCTAATTTTTTTTTCCATTTAATGCTGGACCTTAGCAGACTGTTCTTTCATCTGCGAACCTGTCATTGAACCATTGCCAAGTGTGTGTGTGTGTGTGTTATGCTCCTGTAGGTGAATATAAATACATCACAGGCAGGGGATACTCTGGGGGAAAGGGCTCAAATGGCTCTGCCTTCCCAATGTTGCCCTTTTTGCCTCCCCTAAAACTTTTCAATGGCCCATATGTGTCCCAAGCTTTTTTTTTTTTTTTTTTTAAGGCTTAGAAAATCCTATACTTAGAAACCCCCAGCAGAACTGAGATGTAAGACAATTAGTCTCCAGGCTACTGCTACCCACTGGGGGATCAGCTTCCTGCAAAGCTTCAAGGACCAGCCCACTGCCCACCACATGGTCCTAGGACCATGCAGCCATTCACTGCCGGGATTCTCCACATGCCATGCCTGGTCAGCGGCTTGCAAAGTGTCCGTGGTCAAATTCCCGGCAGAGCCGGGGCCCACCTTGTGGCCCACCTGCCAGCTCCATTCCCATCCCTGCCTCTTATCCGCCTGACCACCTTCGGCTACGTTCAAGAGAACTTAGGGGAAATGGCTGTGCGTGTGAGCCAGCTCAGCAAGTTCGGGTCCTCCGCATTTCTATTTTGTACTGGCCAAAGGAACAGAGGCAAATATACTTCTGAAAGAAATCATGATGATCTGGGAGAAAGTGGGAACTGATTTGTGGGCCTTTCAAAGGCTTCCCGTGGTAAGCGCTGGAGGCTCCCAAATTAGCAACCCCACAGCGCCCTCTGCTGGTTGTCAGCCTCTGCCAATCCCCTTCCTGGAGCTGGCAGGGGGTGATGATTGATGCCTTGCTCTCCAGGAACTAAAAAATTGGTATGAGCTCAGAACAGAATCAGTCGCGCAAGCGCATTTAATGGGTAAGATCAGTGCCCCAGAGAGAACAAAATCTGCCCAGGGAAGGAGAGTGGTACCCCACACCCCACCACCATCATTCACAATTTCAGTTACCAAGTCCCCCCCCCCATACTGAGGACAGGGGTGCCATGCAAAATATGCCAGCACAACTATTTTTAATAATGGCGGCTATTTGCAGCACAAAAGGGCCCTTGGCTGTGCCAAAAACTCCTTTAAATAGCGAGTCCCATTGGTCTATTCAAGTGCTGATTTACATACCGCGGAGAATGTAGAAACTTGACGTTGAATATCAAGTGTCTCTGTCAACCAAAAACCAGTTGGCAAGGAAGAAAAAAGCGGATCTGAAAATGCGAATGTAACTCAAAGAATACAAAAACAATTTGATTTACCAAAGTGTAGTCATCCATCCCAGAGTTTTCAGGTATACAAATGTGGTATATCTGTACTCAAACTTTAAAGAGGACCAGAATAATCCTAGTCTGAGGATTCATTCTTAGCACAGAGCTCCTGCACTTGCAATCCAAAAATCAAAAGAAAGGGCATGACCTGGCAGGCATCGACGAGTTTCTCTCTGGGTGTTCTCCTTAGTTCCATAAATTTCATAATACCATGGGATTTATGCACAACGAGAACCTGAGTTGAAGGCCAAGTCCTTTCCCCTTTTCCATGACAAGATGAGGACCCTGGTTGCAAAAGCGGGTGGAGCTTGGGATTTCTAGGAGAGATGGAATTTCACAGAATGGGGACATCATTGCCTGTGGCTCCAATGGGCTAGTGGTTCCTGGCAGAACTCTGATTGGTACAGAGAACAGAGCCTATTCCAGTAGCTGGTTAATCCTGAGGGTCTGAGGTTCTTACAAACAACAAATGTTTTTTGAACGCCTACTATGTGCCATGCACTGTCCTAGGTGCCAGAATAGAACAGCGGAAAAAAAAACAGACTAATTCCTTGCCCTCTAGAGTTTATATTGTCCTGGGGGCCAGGGGGCAGGCAGGGGGGGACAGACCACAAAGCATGTAAAGGAGTAAACTCTGCCGGAGGTCAGTTGGTGGTAAGTGCTACGGAGGAAAGAAAAGCAGGGGCAGGAAGCCAGGAAAGCAAAGATGTCTGGGAACTGAACCCTGGGGTGCTCCAGTGTCCAGTTAGGGGAGATGAGAAGGAACTGGCAAAGGAGACTGAAAAGGAGCAGCCAGAGAAGATCAGGAGAGCCTGGGATGCTCAAGAGAAGGGTATTGAGGAGGAGGAAGTGGGCAGCTGCGTCCAGTGCTGGTCGGATATGACCACAGTGAGCACTGGGGGCTGGCGCTCAGATTTGCCACGAGGAGCCTGTGGGTGACCTTGCTGAAAGCCGCGGCGTGGAGTGATGGAGCCAGAAGTCTGATTGGCCTGAGCCCCAAAGAGAATGGAAGGAGGGGAGTTGCAGCCACAAGGACAGACAGAGGAGCCAAGGAGGTGGGCGGAAGCTGGTGGCCCTCATCCCACTGTTCCCCTGCTCTACCCTCCAGCCGATCAACCATCTTCGTGCGTCTCCACACCAACGGGAATCAGGAGCTGCAGTACCAGCCTGGGGACCACCTGGGCGTCTTCCCCGGCAACCACGAGGACCTCGTGAATGCCCTGATCGAGCGGCTGGAGGACGCACCCCCGGTCAACCAGCTGGTGAAGGTGGAGCTGCTAGAGGAGCGAAACACGGCTTTGGGTAACTATGGCCGGGCTACACCCAAGGGTGCCTCCCTTCTCCAGGGAGTCCCAAAGGCAGTGGGTATCTGGGGAAGACACTTGTCTTCTTAATCACCATTCCAGGTAGGAGAGTGGGTCTCTGTCACCCCCAGCTTAAGAGACTGAAGACTCCTCCTTTCTCATGGTTGAATAACCTTGGCCCAACTGGCTAAGCAAATGAATGTCCATGAAGCCAGGACGTTGATGGTTCATCTTCGAGCCAAAGGGGCTTCTACCTTCCTTCATCAGCTAGACACTGATCTTAGCAGAGGCTACTCGTCTAACTTGCTTCATCACCCCTGCCTCACTGCCACCAAGTAAATAGCAGCTGGAGTCCGCCCATGCCTCCTCTTAGAATCCAAAGGCACCCTATGAAGCTCAGTGGTCCATTGGGATTGAACCATATTTCTGACCAAATTAGATCAAGTCCCAACCTGTTTCAGGGACCATCCTTGACATGCCTATTAAATAACTTTCCAAGGTAAATGGGTCTCCATGCTTCATCTCAGTAGCCGCAGGTGAGCTCAGAGCTCAGGTACAAGGAACTGCAGTGACCATACATGGTAGCCCCGGCTACAGTGACACATCCCCTCTGCAAGGGAGCGAGGACACAAAGTCAGGGCAGAATGTGAAAACAGTTTGTAGCCAAAGCCTTATTGAAAATCCCTTAGGAAGGTACCACTTTAGAGAGACATACCTTCTCTTAATAAATCCAACCCAGACAGTTCTTTCTCCCTGTTGGAACAGTACGTTTTATCTTGAAGTAGAGGCTTGTGTGTAGGGGGCTGTACTGGAGTAAAGTAAACAGAAGCAGTATTGCATAGTAGTTAGAACATGGTCTGGAGCAATACTGTCTGACTTTATGCATTTGTCCTGTGTGACCTTGGGCAAATGCCTTAACCTTTCTGTGCTTCCATTTTTCTCAACTGCAAAATGGAGATAATAATAGCACCCACCACATAGGATTGTGATGAGGATTAAATGAGTTAATAATATTGACTGATTTTGGACAAGCTTCTTGCATACAGGAGGTGATCACAGGGTCCCCAGGACCCTGGGTATAGATGAGGGACATGGGAGGTGGACAGCCGAGGGGTTACTTGGCTCTGGGGCAGTCTGGCTCTGCCCAGACCCCATCCTCAGTCCCAGAAGCAGATCTGGCCTCCCTAACTTGGACCTAAGCCCTCGGAGCCCAGACTCTCCTGCCCTACCCGTCTCTCACCTTCTCTGTGCCTCCACAGGGGTTATCAGTAACTGGACCGATGAGCATCGCCTCCCACCCTGCACCATCTTCCAGGCCTTCAAGTACTACCTGGATATCACCACGCCTCCAACGCCACTGCAGCTGCAGCAGTTTGCCTCTCTGGCCACCAGTGAGAAAGAGAAGCAGCGTCTGCTGGTCCTCAGCAAGGTGGGTCCCTGGCCACATACATACAACCTTACCTCCTCCTCGTTGGAGAATTGTATAGTTATTGCAACAGTTGTCCAGCAGATGGCAGTCTTGAGCGAGGGCTGCCATAGTCTAGTTTGCAGGTCACCACACTGGCTAGTCCATTTTGGCTAATCTTGGCCATCTCTCTTCCTTCTAACTAAGGTCTAACAGAACGAGAGAGCGACCGCATTGAATCTCAGAGTTCTCTGGCTACAGTCGAAATTGCTGTTCTAACTCCTTTTCCTCCTGCCTTTGGAACCCTTGAGCCTCCATTAGTTCCATCAGAGCCCATGCTTAGAAGAAAAAGAACTTGAGAGAATCCCCCAGTGCCCTGTTTTAAAAATCAGCTTTTTCAGTGCTGAAGAGCTATAGGTGTGACTTCAAGATAGAAAAGGCCTCTGATGGTAAGGTAAACCAAAAAGCACAGCTTCTGCCGCCCTTGCTTAGAAACCAAGCTGCAAAAAAAATCCTAGCTGGGGGGCTTCTCTGGTGGCGCAGTGGTTGAGAGTCCGCCTGCCGATGCAGGGGACGCGGGTTCGTGCCCCGGTCCGGGAGGATCCCACATGCCGCGGAGCGGCTGGGCCCGTGAGCCATGGCCGCTGAGCCTGCGCGTCCGGAGCCTGTGCTCCGCAACGGGAGAGGCCACAACAGTGAGAGGCCCGCGTACCATGGGATACTCTGCCATCACCTCCAAAATTCTGTGACTTCAGCTCCAAGATTTTCTTATTAACCTTCTGTTTTCTGAAGGTAGTGACATATGAATATGCTAGCTCTGGGACTTTCCTGGTGGTCCAGTGGTCAACACTCTGTGGTTCCACAGCAGGGGGCACAAGTTCAGTCCTTGATCAGAGAACTAAGATCCCCGCATGCCAAAACAAACAAACAAAAAAAAAAAAAAAAAATCCTAGCTGGGAAGACCACTCAGATTTCTCCCAGTGGGACTCCTCCCCAGTAAGCAAGCCACCAGAAAATGATGGTTTCGCTTTCTTCTGCTGTGCGGGAGAGGGCATCAAATGGTGGCACAGGAAGTGCTGTTTTTAATTCAGGGAGTGCATCTTACTTAGAAATATGAAAATAAGCACCAGAAAAAAACACTTAAAAGAACTATACGTGGTTACCTCTAGGGAGCTGGAGAGCATTATCTTTAATCGTAAGTTTTGAAGAGTTATTTAACTTTTTAAACTCTGTATACACATAACTTTGATTTAAAATTTTAAGTAATGGAAGGGGGATAATCTGAAGAGGGAACAGAGCTTGCACCCTTTGCACAGGATTATTTAAAGTAAAATTTGATGTAGCTGTATGTATTAATCCGCTTCTTCCAAAAAGCGCAAACTCCATTAAAAGAGCGAGGATTTTTTTTTTATTAGGGGAAACACCTGAGTGAGAGAAAATGGAAGCAGAGTCAGATAAGACTGAGAGAACCATCAGACCTCAAAACAAGCCTGACCTCAAGTGAAGGAGACGGCAGAAAGTTTGAATGGAAGCGTATAGGATCAGATCCATGTCAGTTTTCAGGGGATGTCAGTTTCAGTGAGCAGCTGCTGGGGCTTTTGGCCAATTGAGCCCCAGCAGCTCGAAGTCAATGAGGCTGGGGATCTGGAAAGCACGTTCTCCAGAATGCCATACCCTATCGGTAGAGCAAGGATGGGCTTTAGGAACATGGGGAAAAGCTTGGTTATACAATGCACTGGTAATAGGCTTTACCCCTCCTTAAAATCTGAGCCTCTTATAAGCTAAGGGCAGCTTCTAAGATGTAGGAAAAATAACTCCGGAGCCCCAGAGGGTTCCTGTGTTCCCTAGTAACACCTGGACTTTGCTGTCAACATTGCCCCTGAACATGGTCCTCCACACCCCAGCCTGTTCCTTCGGGGCTGTCTTTTACCATCTTGAATGTGACCCATACGCTCCGAGGATACACCTCCAGCCTTGCAGACCCACAAATCACACGCCTGCAAGTCATGACTCCCTTCACAGTGCATTTCTCTTGACCTTCGCAAATGGCAAGAGAGTCTAATACTGGGAGCACAGATTCTGGAGCCAGACTGCCTAGAACAGGGGTCGGCAAACTTTTTCTGTAGAAGGCCAGGTAGTAAATATTTTAGACTCATGCTCTATGTGTCTCTGTTGCAACCATTCAACTCTGCCATTGTAGCACAACAGCATAGACAATCCATAAATGAGTGGGCATGGCTGGGTTCCAATCAAACTTTACTTGTGGACATGAAAATTTGAATTTCATGTCATAGCCTAGGGTCATGAAATAGTATTGTTCTTTTGATTCCCCCCTCATACCCCCAACCATTTAAACATGTAAAATCAACTCTTAGCTCACGGGCCACACGAGCAGGTGGTGAGCCAGATCTGGTTTTCGGGCTGAAGTCTGCCACCACCTCGTAGCCATGGGACCTCTATATCCCTCAGTTTCCCCATCAATAAAATAGGGATAACAATCAGACTTATAAGGTCCTTGCAAAAATGAAAACCTGGCCCAGAGTGACTCCTAGGCACGAGCTAACTGTATTATTTGTTACTTTGCCTTTTTCTCTGGGCCTCGTCAAGGGTTCCTTGGAAGTTCGCTCCAGGGTCTGGCTGCGAGTTCTTTTCTGCCCCTCTCCTTGGTGCAGGGTCTGCAGGAGTACGAGGAGTGGAAATGGGGCAGGAACCCGAACATCGTGGAGGTGCTGGAGGAGTTCCCATCCATCCAGATGCCCGCCACCCTGCTCCTGACCCAGCTGTCGCTGCTGCAACCTCGCTACTATTCCATCAGCTCCTCCCCGGACATGTACCCCGACGAGGTGCACCTCACCGTGGCCGTTGTCTCCTACCGCACCCGAGGTGGGCAGAGGCGCTGGGAGAAACCCCTGGGTCTGCGTTTCCCCCTGCTCCAGGGGGCCTCTGCGCGGCTGCCTAAGCTTCTGCCACGTCCCAAATCCTGGGGAGGTGACCCATCCCCCAAGGCCAGGAAACCGGAAGAGGGAGATGAGCAGCAAACCGTCCCTTAGGCAGAGCCAGCGCTGTGCAGAGTCAGGAAGGAAATGACGTGTGCATTTGGAGGCCTCTCCAAAAGCCTGAGACCTCCCTCTACTCCCTTCCTCCCCTCATACCCCCAAGGCAGCAGCTAGAACAAGCCACCACCACCCCTTCCCTCCGAGGGGGGAGCTCTCTGCTGCCTGATGTCCAGCTGGCCGTAGGTCAGCCGGATAACCTGACCTCTGCACCCGTGTTTTCCTCCTTGGTTATAGCAATTAAAATGCATGGCGCCTGGGAATTCCCAGGCGGTCCAGTGGCTAGGACTTGGTGCTCTCACTGCTGGGGCCCGGGTTCAATACCTGACTGGGGAACTAAGATCCTGCAAGCTGCGCAGTGTGGCCAAAAAAAAAAAACACAAACAAAGAAACAAACAAACAAACGCATGGTGCCTGAGAGAGGTCTGAGACGGGGGTCCTGACAGGCCACCGAGAGCACATCGATCAAGGCCCTTTCAGTGGGCGCGATTGGAATACAAGCCACCCCTGACCACCAGTTTCACGGCCATGAGCCCACCCCAGCTCTACCATTTCCTCTTCCCCGTCAGAGGAAGGGATCTACACAGGGAACTCCAAGGCAGAAACTTGGTGTCGGGGCTGTGAGCCTTCTGAACTGGAGGGTGGGGGGAGGCCGGGGACGGGGGAGCTTGAGGGACAGTAAATGAGCCAGATCACCTCGGTTATCCTGTTAGATGGAGAAGGGCCAATTCACCACGGCGTGTGCTCCTCCTGGCTCAACCGGATCCAGGCTGACGAAGTGGTGCCCTGTTTCGTGAGAGGGTGAGTGGCACGTGAAAATAAGCAGCCATCCCAGATCTGCATCCTCATGTCCTGAGACGGGGCGGGTGGACCAGCCTGAAGGGTTCTAGAGAGATGGCTGAGTCCGAAGGGATTGAGATCAACGTTCAGCATCGCTCCAAGCTGTTAAGGAAACAGGATCATGGGGGCAGAGCAACATAGCAGAAGCTAAGCAAGTCCTCTAGTCAAGTTCAGGTCAGTGCATCAGATATTTATCAAGTGCATGTCCTGTGCTAGATGGGGCTACAGTAGACGACCAGGCAAAATGCAGTTTCAGCCTTCATGGAATCTGCAGGCTAGTGAAACTTCTATCCACAGTCTGCTGGCCACCCCCATGTGTTCCCAGTTTCTTAGAGACCGGGAAGATTTAATTCCCCTCCCTGTCAACCATCTTCCCCTTCCAAACTCAGTTTTAAAGAGTATTTCTGCCCATAGCTAACAATACCGTATTGTTCTCTTTAAAGTGTGTTAGGAGGATAGGTTTCACATTAAACACATTTTTAATCGGAGACGTATTACGGCCAGAGGTGTTAGTTTGTGTAAAAATCCCCTGGTCAATATGTGTTAAGTCTTCCTACCTCAATCAGTCAATCAAATAAAATAATATAGCTTTAAAAACATAAAAGTTAAAAACTAAGGGATATGTCTGAGCCTAGGCCCACTGTAGTTACCTGCTTTATCAACTGATAACTTCCCTACCTAAACAGTGGGCTTGGCCAGCCATTTTTCTCAGCTCTTGGTCATGATATGGTCCACATACCATCAGCATCAGAATCCCGTGGGGTGCTTCAAAAATGCCGAGTCCTGAGCCTAGACTTACTGCATTGCCCAGGAATCTACACCCTCTTTGAACGTCCCCACGTGATTCTTTTGTACATTGAGGTTTGCAGCTCGCTGATCTGGGAAGATCTCATGGACGGTTAATTCAGTGGTTCTCAACCCGGGGTGATTTTGCCCCCCAGGGGCCCTTGGCAATGTCTGGGGATATTTTTGGTTGTCACAGCTGGAGGGTGCTCCTGGCATCTAATAGATAGAGGCCTGGGTACTACTCAGCATCCTGCAATGCACAGGACAGCCCTCATCACCAAGAGGTATGCTGCCCCCACTGTCAGGAGTGCTGAGGCAGGGAAACCCTGGGTTAAATCAACCCCACACCCTTTGTGGCTTAGCTCAGCAACGGGGATAGTTGGGAAATGGAGTGATAGCCAGACCCTGAGGACCCAAATTAATGGGACCTCCCACCCTGATAAGGGCCGCCTGACCCCAGCTGAAGAGCTTTAAGCCCCGTTGTAGTTCTACCCAAGACGGCCATCTGGTTTACCTAAGACCCAACAGTTCTTGATCAGATTTGAGCCCAGCAAGGCTTCTGACTCTCTCTTCCTTGTCCAGAGCACCCAGCTTCCACCTGCCCCGAAATCCCCAAGTGCCCTGTATCCTGGTTGGCCCGGGCACAGGCATTGCCCCTTTCCGAAGCTTCTGGCAGCAGCGGCAATTTGATATCCAACACAAAGGTGAGTCATGGTCTAGCAGGCACATGGTTTCTACCCCCTGGACCTGGGGAGGCCCGCCTGTGTCCCAGTATCCTGGAGGCATGGTGATGTGTTCTCTGCTTTGTGTCACTACCCGGGGACGGAGGGGGAGCATAGTAGTGACCAGACCCATGGGTGAAGTTTACGGTGTAATTCAAAGGACCTGTCCAAACAAATCATCCACACAGCTTGTTCCAAGGCCTGAAATTCCATCCCCAGAAGACATTTCTTGGACTGTTAAGATAAGACCCCCATCTTAAAATGTAAGCAGCCCTAGAAGGGGTAGGCGTTAAGCCTTACCCAATGGTTATGCGTTCACGGGATGGTCCCAAGGACTGTCATTCAGGAGCAGGGTTTGCTGTGTGAGAAACATAACAGATCAGCTTTGGGAGGAGAGAGAGAAAGAAACCCACATTTCCGACATGCATTTAACAGGGATTTACTGAGCATCTCATGAATGCTAAACACTATCGTAGGCACTAGAGGCGCAGCAATGAACAAGACAGAGAAACAACTTAAAAAAAAAAAAAAAAAACTTGCTCCGGTGGAACTGTAATTCTAGTGGAATAGCTAACATTTACAAAGTACAGTTGACCCTTGAACGACATGGGTTTGGACTGCATGGTCCACTTATACGCAAGCTTTTTTCATTAAATACCTATGTATGGTACTACACCATCCGAGGCTGGTTGGAGAATCCGCGGATGTGGAACCTTGGATACAGAGGAATCTCGGATACAGGGGGCCAACTATATAGGCCTCGAGCATCAGTGGATTTTGGTATCCAGGGCGGGTCCTGGAACTGATGCCCTAGGATACCGAGGGACAACTGTATTCACTGTGTACCAGGCACAGGTCTAATGTTTTGCATTAACTTCTTACAATAACCCTATGAGGTTAGATGCTATTATTATTTCCATTTTGTACTTAGGGACACGGAGACATAGAAAGTTATGTAAGTTCCTCAGCATCACACAGAGCTGGAATTTGAATCCAGGCAGTCTAGCTTCAGAGTTTGGGGGTTTAGCAGTACCCAGTGGTGGGGGCTTTCCCAGAGGAACGACTGAGACCCAGAGAAGACAGGTCTGCTAAAATCTGAACACACTTTACTTCCCTCAGCGTGTGTGCATGTGCGTGTGTGTGTACGCGAGTACATATACCGCCTGCCCCAGGGTCCGTGCACCTCTACCCCTGTAGCACGTGCTAAGGTTCTGAGCACCCCTGGCACCAGCAGCCACCCCCGAAATCAGGCATCAGAGCTGTCGGTGACAGGAGGTCTTCCCGGTCCCCAGGAATGAGTCCCTGCCCCATGGTCCTGGTCTTCGGGTGCCGGCAGTCCAAGATAGACCACATCTACAGGGAGGAGACCCTACAGGCCAAGAGCAAGGGGGTCTTCAGAGAACTGTACACAGCCTACTCTCGGGAGCCAGACAAACCAAAGGTAACCCCCGGCCTGTTCATGGTCCCCCCCAGCCCAGCCCAGCACACACACACGCTCGTCCACTCATGCAAAGCCCGTTCCCAGAAACCCCTCACCCTTTCTGCATCCTCCTCCGTGACGTTGCTCTGAACTTCAGGAAGCCTGGAGCCTAAACATTTGACTTAAAATATTGAACAGCCCACATTCTATGATGCCACTTCCATGAAATATGCAGAACAGCCAAATCCATAGAGACAGAAAGCTGATTCATGGTTGCCAGGGGGAATGGGGAGGGTACAGGGTTCCTTCTGGGGGTGATGAAAAGGTGCTGGAACCAGGTAGAGGGGATGGTTGCACAGCACCGTGAATGTGCTTGGTGCCACTGCATTGTATTATACACTTGAAAACACACATATATTTCATGTTATGTGTGTTTTATCACAATAAAAAGAATTTTAAAACTTAAACAGGGAATTCCCTGGCGGTCCAGTGGTTAGGACTCCGCACTCCCATTGCCAAGGGCCCAGGTTCAATCCCTGGTGGGGGAACTAAGATCCCACAAGGCATGCAGAGCAGCCAAAAAGAAAAAAAATTAAGCAGCCCATAAGAGGCACTCCAAGTCAGAATGGACACAGGCCGTAGGACTGGAGCATGCCCCTGCTAGATCTTGGGGTTCTCAACTGGACCCCCAGGGGTGTCCCAGGAAAGGAGCCAGGATAACAGGGAGGGGGGCACTCAGAGGGTCTGGGCAGCGGCTACTTGACCTCTGGCATGGAAGTTCATCAGTGTTTCGGTAGCAGGTACAGCTGTTCCAGAACATACCAGCTGAATGTCGGGCTTGCCTGGGGGGACGTTTCCTGGACAAACCAGACAAATTCCCTGGAGGCTGCATTGTACACCCCTTGTGTCCACCTGGCATTCTCTTAGCCCCCCTGTTATTCCAGCAATTCCTGCAATTCCAGCAATTGCCCGGGTGTAACCTGACAGCCCCTTCCCCGACCCCCATTTCTTGCTGTCTGTCCCGGGGCTTCTCTGGCACCCCGGCATAGGACGCCTGAAGTGCCAGCCCCGCACCTAGAAGTGTACGGGAGTTAACACCCCCTGGGTGACCACAGGCCATCGAAGAGAGGAGCGGGTAGACGATGCCCCCCTCTACGCCCCTCCAGGGGATGGCTCTAGGGGGGCGTGCTGCATGGTTCCAAAGAGGGTTCTCAGCAGAGGTGAGCTCCAGAGTGGGGAGCAGCTCGTCGCACCCTCAGATCGGCTTTCCCTCCTCTCCTGCTTCACTCTTCCCAGTGCCCTGCGTCACTGCACAAAACATAGACCTGCACACGAGCCCCTGTGTCTGACTCAGTTCCCGGGGTGGTGGGGCCCGGGAGGGAGCTACACAGGATTGTCCTGCAGCCCAGCTCCTCCTCACTGGTCCCCCTTCTCCCTGCAGAAGTACGTGCAGGACATCCTACAGGAGCAGCTGGCAGAACCCGTGTACCGAGCCCTGAAGGAGCAAGGGGGCCACATTTACGTCTGCGGGGACGTCACCATGGCGGCCGATGTCCTCAAAGCCATGCAGCGCATCATGACCCAGCAGGGGAAGCTCTCGGTGGAGGACGCCGGCATGTTCATCAGCAGGCTGAGGGTGAGTGATGGGCCAGCTCCTGGGATTCCTTTTCTGGCATCCAGCTTCCTGTCTCCTCTTCCTCACCCTTCCTGTCTCAATGACTAGGGGACCCATGATGACATCCCTGCTCCCATTTTCCCATTTATGACTGGGGGTAGAGGATACAGGTGGTCCCAAACCATAGGTGAGAGAGAAGGAAGGGTGGTGGGACATGCAGGTGCGTGTATTAAATATGGTAGGGAGCTATGATGTGTGAAAATAACAAGTAGGTGGACCACTGGGTAGCTAGATGGAAACCATCCTAACCCAACTTTTCCCGCCCCAGAAACAAGCTGCAGCACTGCTCTGTGCAGTTGTGCAGGTTGGGCACTGCACAAAAAGGTTTGTCCAAGGGGGGCAAGTAGGGGATGAAAGCCACCCCATGCTTGGCTTCCCAAGCAGTGCACCTTAGGAGGAGGGTTGCCTTTTCCTAATTTTCACAAAGGCTAGTAGCAGCCCAGTAAGCAAAGTCCTAACTGTGGCCAACTGCCCCAAATAGAATAAACTGAGTCCCAGGCCTCCGCAAAGCTCCAGGGGTGATCCCATTCTTCTCCCTGCTTCCCTAAATGAGCAGCAATCAAACATTTTTGCAGAAGAAGCCCTTGCTGTAATTCCGATAATAAACCCTACTAGGTTAAAAACAACAACAACAACTTTCTGGTAGAAATGCCAGAGCTCCAAGGAGAGCTACAGAGCCCTCACCACTCTGTCTCTTTGGTATGAGTCTTGAGAGACACTTTAAGAGATTCTGCAAAACTCTGCAGAATGAGGTTGAAAACCACCCCAACTTAAAATGAATCCACTCTACAGATGGGCAACTTTCTTCAAAACCTTTGGGACCAAGGATGCCAGAACTTAGCTCTGCTGCATGCGTGTTCCCCAGCCACTGCCTCTCCTCAGCAGGGAGGTGCCTTTTCCCCTTGTTTAATGCTCAGCGACACTGCCCTCTGGGATATTCTTAATGCCCATCCCTCAGTCCTGCCTCAGGAGCTCCAATGGCTCCAGAAACTCCCAGATGCCACAAGTTCATCATCACTCGTGCTGTTTCTTGAGTTGTCTTTTTTGTTTGTCTGTTTCTGGGAAAGGCTGAGCTAAGATGCTCACCGTCAGAAAAACTCCTACGTTCAGAGAAGTCTCCACTTTGGCAACCGTGGTATTCCCTGAGTGCTAAGCGGGCACTTTGTCTTTTCTCCCATCTCTGCTGGTCTCTACAGGCTATGATGTTTACACTAAACCCAGCCATGCCCAGATCTGAACTTGCAGGAACAAGGAGGAGGGAGGAAAGGGGGAAATGGAGAAGTTGCCACAGGACCCCCTCAGCTCTTCTGGATCCTCAGAATCCACTAAGCAGCAGCATGGTTCTGGATGGGAACAAAAGTGTTCTTTGCCCACTGGGCTTAGAGGCCCTGTGCCCCAGAGGGTCTTGCTGAAACAGAGTCTCGGAGACCAAAGGGGTCTCTGGGGGCCCTGGGTTACACCTCGTTTCTTTTTTCTTTCTTTCTTTTTCTGGCCGTGCCGCAGGGCTTGCAGGATCTCTTAGTCCCCCAACCAGGGATTGAACCCAGGGCTACGGCAGTTAAAGCACCGAGTCCTAACCACTGGACCACCAGGGAACTCCCTACACCTCGTTTCTTAAGGAACCGTCTTCTCTAAGAATATTCCATTCCAGGGTATCAACGTGTCTGCCCTTCTCCGTGCCCTTGGCTGGCACTTGAGGTCTGTTTCCTGGTTGTTTCTGTCCCCTAGGATGACAACCGGTACCATGAGGATATTTTCGGGGTCACCCTGCGCACATATGAAGTGACCAACCGCCTTAGATCTGAATCCATTGCCTTCATTGAGGAGAGCAAAAAGGGCACTGATGAGTAAGCTGGCTGGCTCCATCCCATGGGCGGGGTGGGCAGAGCCCTGACAGGCAGGGATGTCTGATTTCATTGACCATGGCTTTCCCACAGTGGGGTCCCCAGACCAGCAGCATAAGCACTCCCTGGGAACGTGTTAGAAATGCAGATTCCCAGGCTGCCCCGCCCCGATGAATCTGAAGCTCTGGGGTCAGGGCACCGAACGGTTTGTGTTTTCATGACCCCTGGAGGGGATTCTGAGTTCCCCCCAAGTGTGGGGACCCCAGCTTTGGATGTTAACTTCCACCGGGGTGCCCCCAGTTGAGTGATGGCTCTCTCACCACTGCAAAATTTGTATTCCTATTCACTGTTCCTAGCATTTGCACCACCTCCCTCACCCACAGAGCGCCGCTAGCATTCTCACTGACACAAATTCCGATTGATATTAATTTGACAATTCCACTTGTCCTCTAGAAATTGCTGGAAATGGTCTGAGGTACCACAAAACTGGGACTGAGTCTCACTATTTTAACCTTACATTAATGCCATGACATGTCACCCTTGATTGTAATCTCACTCCCCCCATTCTCTGCCACAGAGCACCTCGAAACCACCACCGTGTGCCCTTTAAATTAGGTGGGAATTCAGCTGCTTCGTTTTCAGTAGCCTAGGGCACACACACTCCATTTCTTAAGCATCCCCATTTTTTTTTCCCCTTATGACAACACAGCGGTCCCGAAAACATACTTTGGTGTCCAGCAGGCTGACATTATTGCCTCGAAGATCACATCTCGTCCTGGTTTGTTGTGTGGACGAGCAAGCATTCATTCGTCTGTTCATTCATTCATTCATTCACTCAAGATGAGCCCCATCAAGGTGCCAGGTCCTGTCCAAGGCACTGGGGCTGACGAGGAAGTGAAAGAGACAAAGCCCAGAGCTCAGGTGCTTTTCTCTGGGTCTGTGTAAGGAAACAGAGCAGTCTTTGCTCCTCTGGCACTAACTGCCCCCCCACTTCTCCTCCTACAGGGTTTTCAGCTCCTAACTGGACCCTCTTGCCCAGGTGGATGGCAGGGTGACCACACCACTGCACTCGGCCAGGATGGCTGCAGGTTTTGTAAGCACAGACGCTGCTGAACCTTTCCCTGGGGCCCGCACATGGCCCCCGCTCTGCCTCTCGTCCTGTCTCACCTCTCAGTGGTTTCCTGGCCCTCTTGGGTTTTCTCCTTGAGTTTTCCTGCTGCAGTGCAATGCCTTCATAATCCGCAGTGGCTCTTACAAAACTGTTTCCCTCTCTCTCTCTTTCTGACAAGGGCACATCACCGGTGCGTGAAACCACTGGAACATGGCTGAGGCTCGTGTTAGGGTGTTTTCTGGGGTTTGCCCTGGAGAGGCTGCAGGGACCAGACAGAAGAGTTTTTTGAGCTAGTCCCTCAGCCGTTCAAATGCCCCTTGTCCTTTTCTATGATGACGTTCTGGTTGTGTGTGTGCGAGCGTGTGTTGGGCCTGGGTCTCCCTCCGTCCTCTTGCTCATGCAGGCATGTCGCCTGCAGACCCTCAGTGCCAAGAAATATGCCCCAGCCCATCCATAATTAAGGGTCTGTGCTAGCATGCCTGAAACACTTGGAAGCATCCTAATTGTCCTGGTTATATAGGGTCAGGGCATGGAGGTGGGGTGTGATGATCAAGGGGAAATCTCCAATGAAAGGGGAAATCACTGAATTAGATGCATTTAGATGCTGGCCCAAGTTAGCGGAGCCCTTACTGGCAAATTAACCCATCTAATGGATTGGGCAAACCTGCTCCCCAACCCCACGCACCCCAGGATCAAATCAGGATCGCCTGATTTGGCACTCCCACCCACAAGACCAGAAGTAATGCTGTCCAAGGGAATGAGCTGGAAATAAGAATCTTCCCGTCTTTGCCACCGGCTAACTTTGGACAACATCACTTGTCCTTAGTTTCCACTAATTGTAATGTTATGAAGCCAAAAAATATGAATGGATCAAACTTTAAAGTTGTGTAGATTGAAAACGGTATCAAAGAAGAATATCACTGTTATTTTTTTATTCCCCCAAATGGGGCTTTGCTGTTTCACTCCTGGGGATAAAGTAATGGAAGCCGGTGAAAGCAGATCAGGTTGGGGAGGGACTCCGTCATGAGGTATCTCACGGCTTCATCTACAGGACCCCAGCCAGGGTGGGGAGTACCTGTCCTCATGCATTTGGTCTTCTAAAAGGGATCCCCCCAATTTTTAACCTGATAAGATAATTCTGACAAATAAATTATCCTCAACTCAGATCAAAAACAGGCAGGAAAGTCTTTGGTAGGAATCAGGGCAGGTACAGTTTCTCCCAGGCAGACCTGAGAGAGTTCATCTTCGCAGAGGAAACGGGGTGGAAGGGTCCCTTTCTACACTTAAGTGCTAAAAATCAATGGTGAGCAACACCCAGAGGGAGCTAAGAAGTTCCACTGACGCCCCAGGAACCGCCTTCCCGGTGTTGAAAGGCAATCAGCCAGTTCTGATCTTCCGTCTTGTTTCGTTTTGTCTTGTCTGATGGAAAGACAGCTTTTTCTTTCTCTACAGCGCACGGGTATTTCTTTCTTGATGCTCAGTTTGGAGGCCTGCCAAAGGGAGAGAGCCCTGGCTCTCTCTGGAAGGGCCTTAGATAGGGGGTGCCAAGGAGGTGTCCCCAGGAGGGGACAACCTTAGAGACTCTTAAAGACAAAGGGCGAACTCTATGTCGCCTTTTTCCACCCTTCCCGGCAGCCCCCGCTGGCATCGCATCCCTGGCACTAGGAGTTTGCCTTCATGCCAGTCATGATTTCCCTGCCTGCCTGCCTTTAATCCTGTTTCCTCCATGGAGTCAGGCTTCCATGGCACAGAGACCAAGCCCTTGGCATGCTTGGCCGACCGACCCTCTCTGACCAGGAGGGAAGCCCATTCTAAACCCTTTCTTTCCTGCTAACATGATTCTGGCCAGTAGCTCTCCTCTCAGAGGCTTCCTTTCCAACCCTTTGAGCCTTTTGGAGATGCCTCCTAAGATGTCACCAGCTCCCCAGGGACTGAACCACTGTGTCCCACCTCCATCATAGAGGGATTAATCAGTGCTCCCCTTTCCAAATCAAGCTTTATGCATGAATGCTTTTGCATCGCCAAATAAATATTTACGAGCACTTATTCCATGCCAGGCAACTTCTTCATATAGCCCTGCCCTTCTAGTAGCAGGCAGACAGAGAAAAATATCATCTTGCTCTATCAGGGAGTCTAAAGAAATGATTATGTCACCGGGATTCATCTTTCTTCCCGAGAATGATTATTTTGTGTTTTTTTAAGTAAACACCTTTCAACCCTCAACAGAAGCTGCTTCATAACTCCTGGCTGGAGGACAGGGGATTGGCCTCATGTGTTTCTCTCATTTGCCAGAATCTCTGATACCAAAAGCCTCGCTGTAATGAACCTATCAAGAGGCAGAGGGAGTGGAGCCCTGATTTCAGGTTCAGCTCTGATCCAGGGTGGCTAAATGCTGCTCTCTTGTGGTGGTTTGTAGTTCAGTCCCAGTAGCCTGCCAATTTTGGTGTAACAGTAGGTGAACAAAAATAGGGTTGCCTGGGCATTTGGGGGTCGCCTTAGTTGCAGGCCTCTTATTTCTCTTGCGCTCTCTTGAATTGGTCAGCAGTAGCTCCAACTCCGCTTAACAAAAGTGAGTTTGGCCAGGAGGGATGAGACATTCCCTGCCACAGGAAAGCTGGAACAGTCATGTTCTCCTATTGTCACTGTGAATTCTGTTCCTGTACCTTGTGTTGCAAAAGAAACAGAAGTCGTTAAACTCCCTGAGAGGATACAGGTTTTCCCTTGGTTTCTATGGAGTGAGACAGCCAGGTATCTTTGCTTTGGGGGAATGCTTCAGACCCACCAAAATGGAGTTTTAGAAGCAGACCTGAGTCCAAATGCTAACTCTGCCCCTGTTTCTGTAGACAGCTGTGAGCTGGTGACCTAAGCTTTCTGAGCCTACACATCTACCTGTATCACAAGGTGGATTAAATGAGATAATGCCCATAAAATGTCCAGTTACAGTACCTGGCCCATTATAAACTATCAAGTTTTGTTTCACTTACTCTATATCATTTCTTGCCTCTCCAGTATGCAGAGGGCACCGTGGAGTGTACAGAGCAAAACTCATTTCCTCTCTTATAGAAGGTTAGGATCTGGGATGCAGAGACACAATTCTTAGAATCTACATGCGGGTCTGGGGTTTGAGCAATCGGTGGAATTCCACCAGCAGGTTTGGGGAAAGGAGATTGCCAGGATGTAGGAAGAGAGAGGGGAAAGGCACAGACAGGGAGCATGCAGGGTAAATTGGGGCTGGCTTCAGACATGGCCCAGCTTTGGAAGGCTGCGGAAGGTAGGGGTACACTGCGGAGATAGGCAGGGAACAGACAGAATTTTGTCAAAGGATTTTGACTTTATTTGGTAGGCAACACAGTGTCCTTAGGAGTGCTTTTAAAAGGGGAAAATAAGGTGATTTGGGTTATGCGTGGAAAAGAATGCTCTGGCTACAGCACAGAGCCTGGATGGCTGACCTGCTGAA